ATACAAGCCATCGTATTCCCTATTACCTTGTATGGATGTGAGAGCTGGGCAGTTAAGAAAGATGCTAGGAAGAAAATCAATGCATTTGAGATAATGTGGTGCTGGAGAAGAGTGCTGAGGATCCCGTGGACAGCCAAAAGGACGAACAAGTGGGTCCTAGAGCAGATCAAACCAGAAAACTCCCTGGAAGCCAAGGTGACTAAACTGAGGCTGTCATACTTCGAACACAACATGAGAAGGGAGAACTTATAAGAAAAGACAATAATGCTGGGGAAGGTGGAGGGAGATAGGAAGAGAGGAAGGCCACATGCCAGATGGATGGACTCTGGGCCTAAGCAGACTGCCAGAAATAGTGCACATTAAATTGAGGCACTGCCCTGGCTCAGGGCTAAGGAATCATGGGAACTGTAATTTATTGTGGCACCAGAGCTCTCTGACAGAGAAGGCTCAATGTCTCAGAAAAAAATACAATTCCCATGACTCCCTAGCACTGAGCCAGGGCAGTGCCTCAATTTAATGTGCACTATTTCTGGCAGTCTGCTTAGGCCTTCTATTAAGGAAGTCACAGGTATTAAGAGGTTGCAGGAATTAAGCACAGCAGGGGAGGACAGAGAGTCTTGGAGATGTCTCATCTGTAAGGTCACCATGAGTTGAGATCGACTCAAGGGCAGTTAACAACAAAACCCACCTCCTTTTTGCAGTCTGTGTACTCCCCTCCCCATGCATTCACCAAACCTGTTCTGCAAGGAAGAGGGGAAGAAGTTCAATTGTGCTAATAGAATTACTCTAGCAATGCCTTACATCTGGCTATACATTCACCACAGGTAAGTACACGAGGTCATGGGTATTAAGGGGTTGCAGGAATTAAGCAGTGCCATGGAGGACAGAGGGTCTTAGAGATGTCTCATCCATAGGGTCACCATGAGTCGAGATCAACTCAAGGGCAGTTAACAACAACAAGAGTAACTTACCCATCGACTACTGTCTTGCCCTGTTTTGGTCCCTTTAATCTTAGGGAAAACAGCTCCATTCTTTAAAAACAAAAAGAAAAAAGAAAAGAGTCTGTGCAGGTCAAACCTCAGCAACACCACAAAGAGAGAGCAATGAAAAGTGAAGCTACAACAGCATTTCCCTTTATTATCTTTTATTACCTTTTATCAGGGTCCCAACATCTTTGTTTAGCAGCCTGCCTGGTGATGGTTTGACATCTCAGGCTAATTAACCATCATGCTCACACAAAAGAGGGGCCAAGTATGACATTTCGCTCTCATGGGTCAAATCTGTGCCTTAAAAACTGCTACTGACCAAACTGGCCTCCTTTTCTGGATGATACAAGTTCAAGAAACAGTACCCAGGCCACACCTGGGAAGACATCTTGAACTGATCAGAAGGCTGCTCATTAATTTTAGTGTTAACATATTGCAACTGTTAAAATTTTATAAATGAACAGTATTTGTGATTTGATTGCCAATTTGTACTGCATTTTTTTACTTCTAAATTTATTTATTTGTTAAAGAGATTTAGACTACAGCTCTCGGTGGCCATGCTGGCTCGAGGATTCTGGGAGCTGTATTCCAAACAGGTGACTTTCCCAAGCTCTATATGAACCAATTTCAACAATAAAATATCTGCAAAAATAATGGAGTTTAACATCGCTTTAACTGCCATGGCTCAATGCTATGCAATTCTGGGAGTTATAGTATTGTGGTATATTTAGCTTTCTCTGTCAGGTGCCAGAACAAACTATAAATCCCTAGATTTCATAGCATGGCAATTAAAGCAGTGTCAAACTGAATTATTTCTGCAGTGCAGATGCAGCCAAGGACTTTTTTCTTGCCACCCTGCTTTTCTATGGTGCCAATGAATTACCTGGCACTTTACATAAAAGTAGACATAACTGATCTCCTATGCTCAGGAGTAGCAGGTTGAAAAATGAAATTTACAATGTCTGAACTAAACCATGTTTACGTGATTCAGTGGAATTTACTACCAAAACAACAATGCTTTGGAGTGCTGTTTTGCTCACAATTACTACTTGGCTGCATCCACACTGCAGAAATAATCCAGTTTAACACCATTTTAACTGTCATTGCTCAGTGCTGTGGAATTCTGGGAAATGTAGTTTGTTGTGGCACCAGAGCCCTCTGACAGAGAAGGCTAAATGTCTCACAAAATTACAACTCCCAGAATTCCATGGCATTGAGCCATGTTGGTTAAAGCAGTGTCAAACTGCATTATTTCTGTAGTGTGGATGCAGCCACCAACAGATGAGGTAATACATTTAAGAAATACACTTTAGATCACAACAAAACATTTTTTTTAGATTAGTTAGACAGAACTTAAATTTGTTTATTTGCTTTTTTAATTATAAAGCTGCAACAGTTCTTACCTTGGGGGACAAATAATACTTATAATAGTACAACTGGAACAAGAGGAAGACTGAACTGGTTAAAGTCAGAAGACCCAAAATTACGTTCTTGTTAATTCTCTGCATTAGTCTTCAAGACCTTCCTGGCTGTCACTGGAAAGCAGCAGCTTAGTTCTTTTCATCTTTTCAGATAATGGATTATGTCTTTGCTGCACAAAACAAAGCTAAGAAAATGTAAAAAAAAACAAAACAAAACCTTAAGTTCTTTGCAAAAAATTGTATGCGTTTTAGAAACTAGTTAATTTACTATTTTTATATAGCTGATCCATTTACACAAGTCTTTGCATTCATGAAAATGCAACCTTAAAATACAACTACAGGTTGAGTCTCCCTTATCAGAAATACTTGGGTCCAGATGTGTTTTTGGACATGTACATAAGTAGATAGGACCCAAGTCTAAACACAAAATTCATTTATTTTTCATATAAACCTTATCCACACAGCCTGAAGGCAATGTCATGCAATGTTTTACATAAATACATGCATGAAACAAAGTGTGCATACACTGAATCATTAGAAAACAGTGGCGTCACAATCTCAGCCACTCATGAAAAAAGTTTTGGTTTTTGGATATTTCGGATTTTGGAATTCCAGATAAGGAAGACTCAACCTGTAGAGAGCATCATGTGAACCTCTTTAGGAAAACTGTCCCATAACTGGGACAGATGCCTTCTAGTGGTTACCCAACTTTCATCATTTGGCAGGAACATTATTCTTTAAATATTAAGAAACATCGTTTGCACAGCAGACTTAAGAGGCCGGAGGAGTGAAGATAGGAAGAAGGAAAATTAACACCTTAAGATATGCAGATGACACAATATTACTAGCAGAAACCAGCAAAGACCTGGGCAATCAGTGAAGAAAATCAAGGATGAAATTGCCAAGGCGGGCTTAATGCAGAACATTAAGAAAACAAACATAAAGGCCATGGAAGCGTTACAAGATTTGTCCTTGTTGTTGCTGTGTGCGCCTTCAAATCATTTCCGACATCTGGAGACCCCAAGGCGAACCTATCACAGGGCTTTCTTGGCAAGCTTCTTCATACTGGGTCGTTTGCCATGGCCATCCCGAGGCTGAGAGTGTGTGACTGGCCCAAGGTCACCCAGTGGGTTTCATGGCTGAGCTGGGACTCGAACCCTGGTCTCTGGGGTCACAATCCATTGTTCAAACCACTACGCCATGCCGTCTCTCTTTGTGCTTTCACAATACACAAAACAACTGTACTCTAACATGGGGCACATCTTTCTACACTGTGTGAATAATGCAGTTTGACACCACCTTAACTGCCATGGCTCCATCCTAGAGAATCCTGGGGTTTGTAGTTTGTTGAGGCGCCACCAGCACACTCTTGGCAGAGAAGGCTGAAGGCCTTGTAAAACTATAGATCCCCAGGACAGAGCTCCAGCACTTAAAGTGGTGTTGAACTGTTATTATTTTCCACAGTGTAGACACACAAGAGGAGAGGGGAAGGGATAGAGGGGGAGAATCAGAAAAGCATTTCCCCCCCCCAAAAAAATGAAACCCAAATATCGACCCTCCCACGTTAAGCAGCTACTAGTCTTGAAGCAGAAGTGTATCCGCACTGCAGAAATAATCCAGTTTAAGACTGCATTTACTGCCATGGCTCAATGCTAAGGAATCCTGGGAATTGTAGTTTGTTGAGGCACCACCAGGACACTCTGGCAGAAAAAAAACTAAGGACCCTGTAAAAACTACACATCCCAGGATTCCATAGGGCGGAGCCACAGTACTTAAAAGTGGTCTCAAACTGCATTATTTCCAGTGTAGATGCACTCTTCGACAGAGAAGGCTGTGAAGACACTGGAAAACTACAAATCCCAGGATTCCACAGGACGGAGCTGCAACAATTAGGCTGCGTCCGCACTGCAGAAATAATCCAGTCTGAGACTGCTTTAACTGCCATGGCCCAATGCTATGGAATCCTGGGAATTGTAGTTGGTTGTGGCACCAGAGCTCTCTCTGACAGAGAATAATAATAATAATAATAATAATAATAATAATAATAATAATAATTTATATACCGCCCAATGGTTGCCCAATCCGGGCGGTTTACAACATAAAATAAATACAGTACAAAATATATCCCTCCCCCAATTTTAACATTGTTGTTGCATAGTTTCATATTTGTAGCACTTCTTCCTTTCCCTTTGTAAGTCTAATTGTCTCACAAAAACCACAAATTCCCACAATCCCATAGCACTATGCCATAGCATAATGCAGCCTCAGAGTGATCTATTTCTGCAGTGCGGACGCAGCCTAGGATGCATATTACTGTGCTCCTCAAAACAGGCAGAGAAGGTAAAAACCGGAGACTGTTAGGGCATGAGGGAGGAGGATGCTCTCTAGGCATCCATTACCTGCCAGGAAGAGCTTTCCCCAGGGGCGTACTGCTTTACGGCTGCTGCAAAATTCTATGTGGCGTTGAGGGCGAAGGGAAGACCATAGAGAGGAAGCCAGAAGAGCAGCCAGCCGACATGCGCAGAGGGCCTGAGGACGTAGCCAGCTCTATGGTTACGCATAACGCACGGCGATGCGTCATTTCCG